TTTTACATTCTTAATTATATTGTGATAATGAGGATTATATTTATTTTTTTACTAATTTTTATTTATTAGCTCTTTTGGAAGCAGCATCACATCAAAACGATAATCTAATAATTCCTTTGTATATGTGGTCTTTGGTTTCCTTATCAAGTTAATAGAATTATAATATCAGTAATAAATAGATAAAAATTTAGACTATATATATATACACACTATGCAATATAAAATAATTTGTGAATACATTACACCAAAAAAATTTTTAAAAGTATTTATTTCCTTTCATTCAATTCATTCAAAAAAAGAACACATTTTAAATAATTAAAATAAATTCATTATTTAATAACTTGTAAAATGGATGATCATTTATTTAAAACTATGAGATTTTGGAATATTCATAGATACTATGAATCATGTGCCTATTCCATTCAAAAGTTCATCTATCACTATATCACTATGCAATATTGACCGATTGCAATTTTGTAACACGATACCAATAAAGTATTCATTATTTTTGACGCTTACAAATCAACCAATCCAACTTGAGCCTATCAGATGAGAGATATTTTTATTTTAATTAAAAATACTTAAATTAGAATTATTTCAGACAACGTCAAAGACTGTCATTTATTTGACAGAACAAAATCCGTCTTATAAAAAAAAAAAATTAGATTCAAAAAATTATTTTTCTGAAAAATAAAAATTTTTACTCAAATTATATTTTTCTGAAAAATACATAAAAAATCATCAGAATTAAAAATGTCATCAACCAATTCATTAATAATAGGATGGCGTTTAAAAGGTCGCCACGTACTTATTATAGGCGGGAATCATATCATTGCAAACAGAATAGAATTTATTTTAGACACCGAACCTGAAAAAATCACCTTGATCTCTCCCAAGCAAAAGATCACTTCTAATAAAATAACCAACTATATTAATGATGATTTGGTTATATATAAAAATAAAGAGTTTCATGTAGATGATTTGACCACTGAAAAGATTGATTTGATATTAGTGTCTATTGATAATGATTTAAAATTATCTGAAAAAATAGCTGCAACTGCTCGTGAACAAAAAATACCAATTAATGTTGCTGAATTACCACAACTCTGTAATTTCTGGTTTATGCCAACATATCGTGATGGAAATTTACAAGTAGCTATTTCAACAAATGGCACTGTGCCTCACGTAGCTCAAAAGCTTAGACAACATATAATTGAAAATCTACCAAAAAATATTTCAAATGCTATTGGAAATGCTGCTTTATTAAAGCAACTTGTTGGTACAGCAAATATATCAACACTTAGAAAAATTGCTGATAAATTATCACTTAATCAACTTGCTCAATTATCAGAACCTGAAATTAAAAAATTAATTGGAACGAATGAGTCCAATGATAATGATTTGATTTCAATTTCAAAATCAATTTTATCATTGAAATCAAAAATAGGCATTGAAATTAATGCTCATGAAGGTGGTGGATTGAAACTTGTGAATGGTAGTACAGCTATAGAACATGTAGCTTATGCTTTAACTAGCTCTATTTTTATTTATCCAGCTACAAGATCATACTACCTTGGTGAATTAAGTTTATATTGGTCTTCACAATCACTCAATAATGCATTTGGAGAAATTAATCACGTAATAAAGGCTGATACTCGTTTTGGTGCATCTACCATGGTTTTTGGTGCTGCATCAAATGTCAAAAGAATTTCAGCATTTGCATCATCTCAATCTATCATCCCTATGATACCAAATTTCTATGGGATCGTTGATGAAAAAATACCATTTGTGATTCACGTATCAGCATTAGATAATGATGATCAGATGAATTATTATGTGAATTATCATAATTTGCTGATTGCACACGAAACTGGATTTGGTATAATTAATTCATATTCAATTCAAGAAGCCCATGATATTGCATTGATAACTCATTTGGCATCAGTTTATTTAAAAACACCTTTTCTACATGTTTTTGATGGATTAAAAGTTTTAAATGAATCAACAAAAATAAATTTATTATCATACTCAAACATTCTAAGGTTAAATAAAGAACTATCAAATATGACAGAGAACTTGAAATCTTTTGATGAGAATAATGATGATGATAAGGTTAATATAATTGAAATGATTGCAAATAAAGTTAGTAAAAAATCAGCTAATCAAAATAAATATCATGCTTTTGAATATTTTGGTTCTGAAGATGCTGAAAAAATTTTGATTGTTCTTGGTAGTGAAATAAATGCTGTTAAAAATTTTGTGTCAAGCATTGATGGGTATAAATCTGGTGCAGTGGTAGTTAGATTATACAGACCTTGGTCAGAAAGAAAATTCTTGGAAAAAATTCCAAAAACAGTGAAACAGATTGGTGTAATGGAACAGGTCAACAATCATGTCAATGACAATCCTGCTAGTTATTATGGTTTATTTAATGATGTTGTAGCATCTTTTAATTCTGGGCTTTGGACTGATAATCTACCAGCTTTGGTGAATGTTAAATTTTCATCATTTGATACTCTTTCTTCAGAAAATATTGGATTTTTATTTAATCAATTGGGAAAGAAAGATTTTGTTGATGTTAATGAATTTGTATCTGAAAAAATAAACATTTCCTCAATTTCAAAGGGTGTAAATCGATGTATATTTTGGGATTCTGAGTCACAAGAAACCATCACAGTTAACAAACACATAGCCAACATACTTGCAAATCATTCAAATCTAAATATTTCTAATTTATCTACATATGATATCTATAACAATGGTGGTGTCATTAAATCAGAATTACAATTCAGTGCTGATAGTCCTGTTGATGGAATTTATGCTACTGAAGAAAATGACATTGACTACATTTTCATAAATGATTTTAGCCTAACTAGCAAATATAATATTTTAAGCTTTATTAAAAATGGTGGTGTTGTACTATTAAATACAAAGTTTACAGTTGATGAATTGGAAACTAAATTACCTAATGATTTTAGATATGAGGCTGCTAAACATAACATTCAACTTTACCTAATTGATTCAGAAATGATTATTCAAGATTTAGGATTGAATTTTGATGTTGATTCAATTAGATCTCTACCTTTACAGATTGCAACTATCAATTTAATTAAAAATGAGTTGAAATTGGATTATAGTTTGGAGAGTTGCATAGCTGAATTGTACGAAATTAGTAATGGAAGTGATGATTGTAATGATGAACATAAAATTGTAAATTTGGTTTCTGAAGTAATTCAAAAAACACAAAAGTCACTTGTATCCATTGAATTACCACCAACATGGTTGATTTTAGAAAAATCTGATCAAATAATGCCAACCACTGTTCAAAATAACTCACTTGGACCAAATTTGGATAAATCAATAGTAACTTTAGAAAAATCAAAGCTAAGTACATGGCATTCTATAGCCTTCAATCTACTTTTCAAAGAAGCATATAAAACTGTTGAGGAAGTTAGACCTGATATTTTGGAAAAAACATATATTATTAAAGTGACTGAAAATAAAAGGTTGACTCCATTAGAATATGATCGTTTCCTTTTTCATATTGAATTTGATATATCTGGAACAGGATTACGATATGAACTAGGTGAAGCACTTGGGGTGTATGGACATAATGATACATATGAAGTTAATCATTTCTTGGAATTTTATAAATTAAATCCAAATGATTTTATCTCTGTTCCAAACAAAGAATGTGACAAATATGAGACCAAGACTATTTTCCAAATATTTTCACAAGTTTTGGACATATTTGGCAGACCAACAAAAAAATTTTATGAATCATTAGCCATGTATGCTACTGATGAAGATGAAAAAAATAAATTGTTGTGGATTTCTAGTAGTGAGGGAAGTAATGAGTTTAAACGACGTGTTGAAGACACAATAACATATGCAGAACTGTTATATGAATTTACATCTGCAAGACCACCAGTTGAAGAACTTATTCAACTTATTGCACCAATCAAGCCACGCCATTATTCCATAGCTTCAGCACAAAGTGTGCATCCCAACAGTGTACATCTACTGGTTGTGACAGTAGAATGGGCTAATTCAGCTGGTAAAAAACGATATGGACAATGTACACGCTATCTTTCCAGGCTTAAGATTGGAGAAAGTTTAACTGTTTCAATAAAACCATCAGTGATGAAGCTCCCACCAAGAGATACACAACCTGTAATTATGGCAGGTTTGGGAACTGGTATGGCACCATTTAGAGCATTTATTGAGGAAAGAGCATATCGTCAGTCACAAGGCATTGAAGTTGGACCAATGATTTTATATTTTGGTTCACGTCATCGTTCAATGGAGTATCTTTATGGTGAGGAATTGGAGGCATATCATGTTGAAGGACTGCTTACACATTTACGACTGGCTTTTTCACGTGACCAAAAACACAAAATATATATCCAACACAAAATGGAGGAAGATGGAGATTTATTGCACCAATACTTGTTGAAGGACTGCTTACACATTTACGACTGGCTTTTTCACGTGACCAAAAACACAAAATATATATCCAACACAAAATGGAGGAAGATGGAGATTTATTGCACCAATACCTATTGAAAGATGAAGGATGGTTTTATTTGTGTGGACCTACATGGCCAGTGTCAGATGTTAAAGATGCTATTGTAAGTAGCTTTGTTAAATCAGGAGGATTGACACTAGGAGAAGCAACCAACTGGGTAAACAAATTAAAAGATTTAGAAAGATACATTTTAGAAGTATATTAATCTTTATTTATTTATTTATTATAATTTTGTATAAATAATTATAATTTTGGTTTTTATATTATCATATTATCATATAGCATTAGAAATAAATATTTAATTTCAAAATTTATGTAATAAATCTGAGATCCACAAAATAATTGGATTTTAGTCATTAATATTAATCGAATTTTACAAAATAAAAAATTTCAAAAAAATGATCAGGTGATAACTTGAGCAAAAATTGCAATTTTTATTTATCATCCATCATTAGCATTATATTTAATATACGGTTCGCATTGTATTTATGCTTCTGTTTGAAATTATTATAAAAAAAAAAATCGATAAAAAGGTTGTTTAGATCATTTACGTGATAAACTAATTTTAGGAAAATAATTATACAAAACAAACACTATTTTACAACTTTCCTCTTAACATCAGAGCCCAAATGCAATTTCAGGGCCACCAGCCCTGCAACCTCCTGTGCTTGAAACAAGCTGCAGATTCTCATAATATTCCTCCAGAGTTGCAACATCGTCACAGAGCCATTCTTACCCTAAAGGTGGGATCATTGCAGGAAACTTTTCGGCTAACATGCCAGCAGCCATCTCTGGTCTGGGTGCTGTGAGTGAAAATGTCATTGACGATTGGTGCAGTCTCGGTAAACTCCAGGGCCATGTTACCCTCCCCTGAAAATTAGTTGTGTCAATGTATCTTGGTCGGATTAGCCTTTGTACATGAGGAACAAGCGAATGACTGTATGTGTTCAAGGTAGCGTGTGTGCTTCAACATCTCTAAAATTTCTGATAATCAAACGTCACATACTCAAAATGTCTCTTTTTCAACAGTGTGCTGCCTTGAAATCTTGTAATTAATTATTGTAATTAATTATAATAATATTAATATTATTGATTACGAAAAACCAAATACCAATCGTTTACCATCAATGAGAATCTTATACCACGTTTTGATTCAAATTAAAATATTTATAAACTAAAAAAGACATTCATACATATCAATACAAATAAAAAACAGCACCTCTGGTTAGTTATTAACACGTCTTCTTTAGGAGGACCAATCAACAACTCTCACGTTGGACTCCGTCAGTGACTAGGGATGTTAATCGATTATACAAAAATCGATTTTTCCACAATCGATTATTATTATCGATTTAATCGAAAAATCGAAAAAAAAAATCAAGTGTTAAATAAATTAACAGTAGTAATAATAATAACAATAATAATAGCAATAGTAATAACGATAGGAGAGTAATATTAAATGGGACTGGAACATGTTGCAACAAATGAATATGTATTACTATTATTATTATGTCTCCGATAAATTTCAGGGTTCAAGTTGCTTAGCATCACCATAAAAAAAAATTGATTTTTGTTGGAAATAAACCTTTATAGGAACAAAGCAAGCAAAACATCACAATCAATCCAAGTATAAGCATAAGAGTTATCCATAAAAACAACATTAATTCACTCATCTTCACGTAAAAAAATCAAACTACAAAAATCTATTTCGATAACTATAATGTATAGTTTTTTAAAAAAAAAAATCCAACAAAATGCTTGCCTTATTGCTGATGGATTATTTTTGCTTTTTACCCTTAAAAAAATTTGTGCATACCCCATTTGATATTTGGGAATCATATAAATTCACAGGGCAAACTTTGTTGATAATTGCAAAATAGCTCATCTATATTGTTTTTTTATTTGTAATTTAATTGGTAATTCTAAACAATGATTTACAATAGTAGAGAAATATTTTATGGGATGACTTGGATCTTTTAATTTGATGTCATACTTTCTATAGAATAGGACCATCAAACATTTCAATTGTAACATTGCAATTTGCCTTCCTGGACAAAATTTTGCTGTCACCATCAAAATAAAGTAAAGAATTATTATGAATAGAAGATTGTTAGTTTTCTAGAAATCGATCAGGATTAAAAACTTTTGGATCTTTCCAGTGAAGTGGATTCATATGAATACCTTGGACATTTATTAAGAATTGAGTTGATTTTGGAAATCGGTAATTTGCTATTTGTTCAGGTTTTGAGGAATAACGAAATAATACTGATACTGTGGGCATAAGTCTTGATACTATCAAAGAAAAAAAATCAAAGCAAAAAAATTAATTGAGAAGGGATGAAAGAAAAGAAAGGCAATGATGATAAAAAATAGTGTATTATCCACATTCTTTTGTAATTGCTTCACAATAATGAAGTTTATGTAAATCATAATAATTCATCATAGAATCAACATCTTTGCCAATGATGTTTTCAATTTCTTGCAGCATTTTTGTTTGACATTTGGATAATGTGAAATATAATAAATTATATAACAAAATGTATTTGAATAAAATTAAAAATATTTGATAAATAAATAAATTGTTTGACAAATAAATAAATAAATATTTAGATATGAACACATATGGTTTTTTTTGTCACGGTCACGTTTACTTCGTCAAAAATTATTTCAACAATCATTTCGTCGACGCCCATTTCGTCGAAAGTTTGTTGTAAAGGCAGTTGCAACCAGCAGTTACAATCATAATGCAAAGGTGGTAGCAACCATCATCAAAAGTTGCAGCCGATGTCCTTACTTTTGTCCCATCTTTTATCTCTAAAGGTAATATGATATGACCACAAGTATCTATGTTATTGATAATATCATTCACTTCAAGATCCTCCAACACAAAGGAATATGATTCTACTTTTTCATTTGTGAGTTTAACAAAAAAATGCTTGTCAATGAGATCATCAGATGTCACTTTATAAATTATTAAATAAAAATTTGTTAGCAATCTAAATAAAAATCAGAGAATTTTGATAATTACTTCATTGATCAATGGAGGGCCATGAAACATAGTTCACACTTACGTCAAACCATCCTAATTCCACAATATGCTTATCAACAAATAGAATAAATGATGTAAATTGTTGTTATTGAATGCATCTGAACAAAGCTTCCAGAATATATTGATATCCTCGCTATTCACATTTCCTTGATTTTTATTCTGAAAAGCAAAGAATGATTTTATTAGATTAAATTTTCATTAATGAAATTTACCATAATTATATTTTGTCATCTGAGGAGATCCCATACATTATTTCAAAATCCAGCAAAGGATTTAGAATCCCCTTTTTATTGTCATAGCCAAAAAATTTATAAAGGATAAAGAAAAGTCATTACCACTTTTTCCTGATAAACGTCATACAACACTCTTTTCACTGTACTCACATACTTATGGAAATCAATGCAAGATGTATATGCAGCAAAAAGTAAAAAATGAAATATTTGAGGACTTAGATTTTTCTGTTCAATAAAAGTCCAGTAGCTGTTTATATTATTAAAGTAATAACCATTCTCTTTTTCTATTTGAAAAGGTAATCATGAAAGAAAGTTAAACAAAATCAATTAAAAAAATAACTAGTTTTTTTTATTACCTATATCACAATGATTTTTAATAACTAAGGGTGGTGATGAGAAGGACGAAAGGACTCTTTTTCTGTAAGTAAATAGAAATAAAAGTCAAGATACCTCCAGTTTTAATTAATATAGAATAGTGACAGTGGTTCCATGCAACCACCACCATCCTTTTTAAAATAACTAGAGTGACGACGAGTGGTAATAACCACCACCACCATCCTTGAAACACTGGCTATTTCTTTTTCTGTTTTTCTTTTGTTATTAGATCTTGACAAAAGAATTAAAATTTTATTGTACACGGATTTTTTTTGTTGACGGGATATTTTTCTTTTTGGGAAAAACAATTTATTTTTTGACAGAGATGTTAATCGATTAATTTTTCGTAATCGATAATCAAAACGATTATCTATTATTATTATTATTATTATTATTATGAATTGATCGACAAATCGAAAAATCGATTTTTACATTGCAAAAAGTAGTAGTAGTAGCTTTTACATATTACAATATTAATAAAATGAAAGAATATAGGTCGCATGTCCAAAACACGATTGGATGTCATTTCAATAAATTCCGTTTTATTTACAACGTAAATTTTAAAATTTTATTTCTTATTATTCTTTGACGGGTAAAAAATAGTCAACAAATTTTTTGTTCCGTTTCAAAAAAAGAATATGATCAACAGACTGTGAGCTAAGTCTATTTCGTAACAAAGTAATTTGTTGTCCTGCATCAGAGAAAAGTCTTTCCGAAGGAACTGATGAAGAAGGAATTGCCAAATATTTTTTGGCTAAAATAGCAAGTATTGGGAATTTTTTTCATATCACACCACCATTTTAATGGTTCATTTTCTTCAACAGGAAGTACTTGGGGTATGTTTTTATATGATTCAAATTCA